GTAAACCACCCCTCCTCCCTCCCTCTCCATACCTGTGACATAACTACCTGCCCGTCTCTTCAGAAATAAAACGCTTCGGCGTTTTGATGAATTTGTGCCCCTTCCACAATGAAGCGTGTATATGACTATGTGTCGTCCTGTGTGTATGAGGTCCAACTCCGTGGCAAGAGTGGAAAGGCTCTGAGTGTCATACTCCCTTCCCGCTTCATCCAAGGTAAGGGACACATGTGGCGTGTCTCCTTGGAGCTGAGGTGGGTACAGATGAACCTATCACCTGCTCTCCAAACCATGGGGCTTCCCTTTGACCCAGGCAGCTTTGGACTAGGGCTTCTATCTTTTAACATTTATTAAGCTCTGGGATTTGGGACTCACTATGGTCAATGGTAGGCTTATCTTCTCATCTTTCTCTGATATATAACAAAAAGGAAGTGTTTTCTGAATGCCAGCCTAAGTTACCCATGATGGTGACTAGTTACCTGAGTGGCAATGCAGGAAAAGGGTGTTTGCCAAAGTCAGGCGACAGGAAAGAACTTACTTTTTCAAAATGGGAACTCTTCTACTAAAGAGAACATTGGCCGCATAAATAACTCCGTTACACATTCGATAAACACCACATTACAATGGATGATGTGCAGGCAGGTCAGCAAACTTCTATTCATTGGCTCCACTACTCAGCCAACGCGTTGGTGGGCTCAACGATCTGTACAAGGCAGATGTGGGTTTAGTGTGAATGAGGGGGACACGGTGTTGGGACAGAACAGGAAAATGTCACATGAGATCATACTAAAAACCACCTACCCTTAGCTTACAAAGATAATGCTGTTGATTGGCCGTGACCCTGGCAACGGGGACACAGAGAAAAGAGAAAAAGACAAGATGGGAACTAACAGTTAAATGAGAAACACCTGTGAACAGAATGCGACGCTACAGGGATTTGTGCGCCTCTTTCCCCTGCAGGTTGTGAAGTCAGAGAGCTAGCTTATTTGACACCATGCGTCTTGGGTTTCCTGGGACAGTGCACAACTTAGCTCGATGCTAAAGGACTTAGGGAGCTAATAATATGTACAAAGCCCGGCACAAAGGAAGTACTGGTCAAACAGTTAGTCATAATCACCATTAACTATTATCACCTGAATCCCACAGCCCCTAATACAAATCCTCCCACCAAGCAATGCATGCGTAAGTCCCAATAAATTTTTTTCTGTTATGGCTAATACTTATTAGCATTTTTTGCATTTATAACTGCCTTATAAAATAGGTATCAATGTCAGACTACTTAGATGAGAAAAACAAAGCGCAGGATGGTAACTTACAAAATATAACAGAGATAATAGGAACATAAAGAAGACCCAAGTCCAGGCTTTTGGTTTCCAGAGTCCATGCAGTTCACTATTTCTCCCTATACTGGCGAGAACAGGGAGGGAAGGCGACCACCCTTTGGTTCTTTGCTCCTGGGTTCCCGTGGCCTTGTCGGAGCAACCACACCATGGGGTGTCCATGATCCATACCCTAACACCAAGCATCACAGCTTCTGTAGGCTCGAGCAGCCTCGGGGGAAGCAGGAAGGCTGGAAATCTGCCTCTGAGTTGTTCTCTTGGACTGTTCCTTACATTCAACATTATTAGCTTCCACGGGCTAATGTCCTGTCTACAGAGAGCGTTCTACTTATTGGGGGCCTAGGCTATCTGGGAGGCACCACATTTCATCACCTAATGCTCACAAAAACTGAGGCCAGTACCACGAACCAGGTCCCGCTCCTTTCTGAAGGAATGCAACGAGCCTTGGAACGCCACAGAAAGTGACCTTTTTCCATCTGCCACTGAACCGACCAGTTACTTAAATATGTCTGAGCAAAGCTGAAAAAGCCTGTTGTCCCCAAGTCCACAGTGATGTATTAAAAAAAGAAAAAAAAAAAAAAGAATCATAGCATTTAAAGAGTCACATCTTGACAAAAGAAGGGTCATGTAGGGAAGCCTTGTAGACTGGTCCTCCATCATCAATGACTCTGGACCATGCTGCCCATAGCCTGACCCCAGAATTTGCTCCCCATTTCTTTCCTCCAAGCTTACAACATGCCTAAATCACAATCCTGACAACCTACAATCACTGGACTATATCACGTCTTTTGTTCTCCCGAATTTTTATTTAAATATATTATTATTTAATTTTTCATACATGAGCCTTTTCTCCCAAGTTTTTAGCATGTATCTTTTTTGAGGGTAGAAAATTATGACTTCTACTAAGTTGGTACTCCATACATTTGTGTCAACTGATTTGACCCCTAAGCCCAAGAGCAAGTTGGGAGACCATATATGCTTGATGAGCTTTCAAATAATGGCTAAACCTTCAACATTACACTATTAAAGAGGAGACCTCTGGTGTTTAGATTGGCTCTGGATAATTGGTTCATGACAGAATCTCAAATCATGAGATTGCCAATATAATAAATAACATGGCTCCGTGTTATTGCCCTTCTTACCTATTTGGGGTCACAAAATGCAGCTCAAAATGGGAGCGACGATGTTATTTGGACTGCGGAAACAAGGTCACTGAGGGCATCTAATCAACAATCCATTTGTTCTGTGCATACTGCAAACTTTCACAGACGAGCTTATTTCAACTTTCGTATTTGTTAACACCTGTCCGTAAATGCACCACATTAGCATTTTACGTCAACTGCATCA